ATAATTGGCAGAAATAAGAGGTTTTCAGAAGGGCAAACTGAAAAACATTTATGGATTCCCCGGATTAGCTCAACCTAATAAAGTAAGGATATTATTCCAACCCCATTAGAGGTAGCCAAAATGCAATAAATGTAAGGATACTGCAGGGGAAGGAAAAAATATTTTTCTTTCTACCCTTCTAGGTGTCATCTGGTGCTCTGCCACAAAAGACAGATTAGAACAAACAACCTTATTAACATGTGCATCATGCATGAAACACACAGATTATGAGAGAGGAGTAACTCAAAGGCTTGGTTGGTAATTGGGCTTAAATAGCAGCTTAGCAAAAGAGCAATAAATTTTTAGAGAAGTAACAAGGCAAAGAAAAAGGATCTCGAGTCTGGGTCTGGGCCAGTTGTGGAAAGGTAAATATATGGGAAACTAAAGGAAGTTATATGGGGCCGTTAGTCAAGTTCAATATGTAGATCCTTCTGGTGTAACCTCTGGGCTGATAAGAGTCTAGCTTGACTCCAGTGATTGGAGAGGGGAGATGAGGCACCTTTGCAAGTTTTTTGTCCTGCTCTTAGGCAAACTGCCTGTGTTGTGTTGGCCCCGGAGCTGAGAGCTTTTCTTGTCTCAGCTTCTTTTCAGTTGCTTTGAGCTCAAAGTAAACCTTATACCAAAGTGACATGTTTGCGGGTGGCATTTTTTGCTACTCTCTGATAAGGGGGGATTACAAGGGTGTTTAGCATCAGTGTCCATGAAGGGAATAAAGTCTGAGTTGGGCTGACCTCACTTAACTGGGGTGTGCCACCTACCTACACCCCAAGCCATGCAGAGCTCACTCAGTGCATTTGCTGCAGAATTCACAGTTGAACCTTAACTCTTTTGCATCTTAAAGATAAAGGCAAAATCCCTTCTTGAATATTTTCCTTCCTTCCCCAGAGTTAATCATTGTTTTGAAGTCCAGTATAGCCTTCCCACATCTGTTTCAATACAATTTATTTATACATATGTATTATTGCCATACCTGTTTTTAAACTTTGTATAGTGAATACATCTTAATACAACTTATATTTTTTTAAAAACTCAACATACACTTTTCTGTATTTCAGCCATAGTGATATATGTACCTCTAGTTCGTTCACGTTAACTCTTGTATATTGTGTGTATAATGATATATATGAAATAGCAATTATTATATGAGGTAAATACTAATAATCCTCCATTTTTCAGATGAGGAAACTGAAAACAGAGATTAAGCAGTTGGTCCAAGTCATATAGTTAGTAAGGAAGATTCACATGAGGATCACAAATTTTGCCTTATTCCATTCCAGTAGCTTTTCCTATTTCCTGCCTTGGGTTAGGATTTATAATGTGACAGAGCAAGGGTGAGAGAGGGTATCCTTATGTTGTTCTTGACTCTATTTCGAATGCTTCTAAAAAATTTTAGCTTTAGTATGTTTGCTATAGGTTTTCAATGAATATCTTGGAAGGAAGGATGTTGCCTTCTATTTATAGTTGGCCAAAAAAACTCTTTTTCCTTATAATGAATAAGTATTATATTTATTAAATACTTCCTGTCTCTGAAAAAAAACATGATTTTTTTTCTTTATATGTTGATTAGTAGATTGCTTTTGGTTTCAAAGCATTCCCGTTATTCTGGAATAAACCCTACTTGGTCATTTTGTGTTCTTACGTTAATATGCTGTTGAATTGTATTTGCCGAAGTTACATTTAGGATTTTTATGTAGGTTGTAAGGTGAAATTGGTCTACAATTTTTTTAAATTATTCTCTGATTATCCAGCTCTGGCTTAAAGTTTATAAACTCACAAAATTAGTTGATTTTTCTCTCCTTTTCTGTTTCATGAAATAGTTAGTGTATTAAAGATACTGCTTCACCCGAAATATTTGATAAAGTTATACTATGAACTATCTGAGTCTAACACTTTTGGTGTGAGATTTGACTGATAATTCAATTTGGTACAGTGTCAATCAGTTTAAATTTTCTGTCTTAAGTGAAAATTATCATTTAATCCAAATTTTCAAACTCATTGTTACTAAATTGTTCATATATATTTTGACTTTTAAATTCGATACTCTAACCGTAGTTTTGATCACCTCTTCAATTCTAAAAAAAAAAAACCACGAGAATTATAGAGATGATCTCAAAAGAACAAATCAATTCATGGTTATTTGCTAAAACTAATAAAATAGACATTGCTCATCTAGATCAAGAAAAGAAATGAGAAAACAAAAATAATACCAAATGCTATTTAAGGGCTGTGAAGGGATTTCAGTCGAAAATGGAACCGGAAGATATGAAACAGAGAATCTCCCGCATGCTCCCTCAAAATAATGGAACTTGAAAATGGAGAGACTGATTCCCTATAAATGCCTGATTTACAGTGGGCTGAGACTCATCTCCTGACCAATGAACATCTGCTAAGAATCTTTTACCATCCTCCAGCCAGTGAACTCACTGCTTGACCTCTGGCTGACCTGCCTTCTCTGGGCACTCGTTCCCATTAATACAGCTGCCCCAAGCCCTCAACAGACTCGCCTGCAGCATGCATTTTCCGAATTGCATTTCCTCTGCTTTTCCTGAATAAACTCAGTTTCTGGTAATTCGAGCTTGCCTCAGTTTACCTCTTTATTTAGGTTAGCAGGTTTTTTTTCTAATTCTAAAATTATCTTGTTCTGTGATTGTGGGTTATCAAGTCCCTACCAAATCACTTTGCCTGTCCGCCTCTTCTTTGTCATTCCACGTGGTCACTATGTCCCTATCACAGCATAGCCAGGGATGGAGGCAAGTCTCTATGCCTTATTTACCTGCCATGTCCATTAGCTGGTCTGGTTAGAGAAGAAAGAACAGCTAAATTGATTCACTGTAACGTAGCCATTGCTCACACAAGGTAGCGTTGTCATGCGCTCTTGATGAATGCCTACAATGTCATGGGGACTGTGCAGGGTAATAGAGATTTGGAGGTTAAAAAAAAAAAAGATACAGACCCCACCCTCAAAAATTGAAATATACTGGAAAGACAGACATTAAGTAAGTAATTACACAAACAATTACAATAATGAAAGGTATTATGAAAGAGAAGTATAGGCTGCCATAACAAGGGACTACTGGAGTCTGTGAGGGTTAGAGGTGAACGTGGTAGCTGAGGAGCAGAGGTAGGATAGGGAGGGCAGGAAACAGTATCTGGAAGAAGCAGCGTAGTGTGTTCAAGAAACCAAATAGCCAGGTGGTGTGAGCCTGGACAACAGAAAGAGCTAGAACTTTTCAAGAATTGGGGACTTATCCTATGATCAATGGGAAGCCACTGGATAGTTTTTAATACCACCTCTGGCTAAGCATCAGAAAGCCTACATTCCAGTAGCTATAGATCTGTAGTTATCCTTTCAAAACAAACCTTTATTTTCCCCCTCAAAAAAGCAGAAGTCTCTAGTAGGTATCCCATATCTGACACGTACCAGTTAGTATAGTGAATGCTTCCTTTAGATAAACCATTACTTTAAACTTGTTATATATAATTTGTTAGCTTGAACTAGTTCGCAGTGCAACAGTCTGGGCTTTTCTCCCTGGTTTTTAAAACTGTAATTTACTGTAAAATTCATTTTTTAATGTCTTGGGGACCTCTATTCTGGCTGACAGCATTATTTTGTTATTATCGTGTTTACTGTTGTCAGTGGGTTGCGGACACAAATGCTCAGTTGGGCACCTCCCATGTCTGTCATCAGAGCTCAGTGGTACCTCAGCTTGGGTCACCTAAAGAGGGCATTACATGCGAATTCTTTGCAATCCCAGCCTTTTATCCAATCTCCCTAAATTTCCAGGTTCCTGAAGTGGCGAAAGGATGTTGTCCAAGGGAAAAGCAACTGGTGTAACCACCGTACTCCTCTATGTGTTGTTATATTAACCCATGAATGATTTATCACAGGATCTTGACTTTACTGTAGGAGAGAAAACCAAAGATATTTTTCAGGAGCCATGGTATTTTGTCAGAAGCACTTAGATGGTAGCTTTATTATGTTCATTTGAAATGTGTGTTTTGAACCAATGCATTTGTCTGACAACTTTATTGATATTTCAAGTTGAATAATCATTTTTTGTGTATTTGGTTCTTCAGGGGTTTGGTCATTTAAAAAGTTACACTTTTCTTATCAGTGATTCACCAAAGGGTTTATAGTGATACCAGGTTTGGTGTAAACCAGTTTATAAATTTGCTCTTCTACCAGATTTATTTATACTTTAGCACATATCCCCTGAGGACTTCATAGTTATATAATGAAACATTTTTTATTGTGGCAGTAACTTACAGACAAACATTTATTATATATATATATTTATATGTATATAAGCCACGTAAACGAAGGCAGTAACTTTTAAAAGTATCTAATTTTAAGTGTCTATCCAATATAATGATAAGCTTGAATAAACTGGGGAAAATGGGATAAAGTGGGGGAATTGGCTACATTTGTGTTTATCCATCCTTAGAGCCATAATTTGAAAAATAACTCCCTAAGTGACTACTTCTCATCCCAGTCCTTTATTTTAATAATTAGAAATACTAACAAATAATGACATTACTAATTGAAATATCAATTTTGACAAGCCTTTACTTACTTCTCTATTAAAATGACTTCCTGAAAATATCACACGAAGTTAATGAATCGCTTGTTAATTAAATTTGAACTTTTTCTCCTCTAGTATTCAAATGAAAAAACTGAAATATGATATATCCAAATTGCTTTATACTAAATTGTACATTAATGGTTATATAAATATAATATATGGTAGTGTTACACATGAATGTGATAAGAATCTGTAACATTCATTTGCTAATTTTGAATATTGGCTTATCTTTTAAGTTCATTTTGTTCCTGAAAATTCAAGTGCTGAAATAATGTTTTACCAGCATTTTCTAATTAGCCAAGTGTAACTTTCCATGAAAAATTTAAACATTCTCTCATCCAACTAACAAATCAATCTTTTCTTCTCTTGTTTTGTTAGCCTCTTAGCAAATACCCTGCTGTGATAAATGACATCTCATTCTGGTTGCCCTCTGAGAATTATACAGAAAACGATTTCTATGACTTAGTACGAACAATTGGAGGAGACCTGGTAGAAAAAGTTGATCTGATAGACAAGTTTGAACATCCAAAGTAAGTAAAAAACTTTCTGATTTTATCCTTTTTTTGTCTCTGTGTGACAAATGGCTTATGGAAATATATAATAAAATTTTGCTGAAACTCAATGCATATGAGACAAAATATTTCCAGAATTTATAGTGAATATATAGTTAATCAGAAAAGATTTTTATATCAGTCCTTTCTAAAAATCTTTCTAAAATGCAATTTTAATCTTTCCTATCTTAGTAAATAGGTGAGACAGAATGTTTTAAAGATCTTAGGGTTTTTCAGTATTGTTTTTAGAAGTGATTTCTTACCATATCACATCCCAGGAACAGAGGAGATGTGGCAGAAACGGGTTTGTGGAGAAAAAGCTCTTTTGTCAGTCTCTCAGTGAATATTTATTAAGCACTTGCCACATGCCAAAAGCTGTATTAGGTCCTAGGATAAAGTTTAATAACTTTATCAGGATCCATCTCAGTGTTGGCCTGTCTTCCTGGGGTGTGTGTGTGTGTGTGTGTGTGTGTGTGTGTGTGAGTGTGTGTGTATGCTGTAGTCTTACACTAATCAGATTTGACTCTACTTTGGTTTTAGAAAAGTTTTCTTGAGTTATATCGTTAAGGATTTGTTCTGATCCATCGTTCTGTTTCATTCTTCTGGAATTCCAGTTCTGCATGAGTAGGCTCTCCTTTATGTGACTTCTCTACCTATTACTTTCTCTCTAATGTTTTAAAACTCTTTATTTACACTTCATTTTGAATGCTTTTCTCATTGCTACCTTCTCTGTCCCTTACTGTTTTCTGCAGTCTCTTCTTCCTTGCTCACATTCCATTTCCATCTTCGATTACTTTGTTTTCCCCCTTTTATGAGTTCTGCGAGCTCACATTTCAGTTCCTCCTGTTTTCTTGCCTTCTACTCTCTGAATTATTTGTGCTTTGTAGTTCTACTTCATCGAGGAATTGCTTCATTTGGTTTTAAAAATGTATTGCAAGATACTTGCCCAGCAATTTCTTAGGATCCAGGGGCAACATTTTTTTCCCTATGACTTCTTTGTTAAAAAGTTTTTCTTTCATCTTCCTTATTTTCCCCCAGTTTTTAAATTGATGTACCTGTGGTATGCATATGATTTGCCTTTTTGTTACTTGTATTTGAATGGCATTGGATTTTCTGAACCAGTTATGTGCACAGAGTTGAGGTGTGAGGGTGGGGGTTGACATGGCAGGGAGGGGCTAGGGTGATCATTCGGCTAGTTGTTTTCACCACCCTAAGGCTTTTATCTTCTCCAGTGCCAAGAAATAAGTCTTTCTTTGAATATGGCTCATTCATCTCATTGATTCCTTGTATAGTCCTGCATCCCACCCCAAATCTTCTCTTCTTACAAACAAAAGATTCGCCTTTGTTTACTTCAGTTTCAACACTTATCAGTGATAAAGATTTTGAACTTCAGATTATAACCCTCAGCTTTGAGAAATGTTATCTTTGCTAGTATTTTCTGAGAAATGCCACTGTTTGTGTTTCTTTCCTTCACATCTTCTCATTAGCTTCTACTTGTTTTGAGCTGCTTTTGGCAGCCTTTAAATTATTTTGGAGTTTGCAGATGATATCTGTGCCCTAACTTTACAGAAACAGTATATATGGAGCAGCCTGGGTTTTTGACATGATGGAATACCCATTCAGCCCAGGACTATGCTGTGAGAGAGAAATTTCCAGGAATTTCCATGTTGATAGTGAAATTCCAGTTACTTACTTTTGAAGAAGAGGGAAAGTGTAGGACTAAGACTGATTGTTCAATATTAACTGAGATACCAAAAGGACATGACTTGTTATTTTTTCCCCATTGTTGTTTAATATGTAGAAAACCCATGGGAATCAAGGATTCAGAATCCATTCCTAATTTTATACTTCTCAAGCTTTTGCTTCTTGCCATTGCCTTAGCCCTACCTCTACTCTGATATCATCAGTGTCAAAAGTTAGAGGAGTAGCCCTTTCTGGTTGGAGATGATCAGATCTTAAAGGTTAGAGGGAGATGTTAGTGCCTGGATATGGGAGTAAGTGTGGTTTGGGGGCGGGGTAAATATCTTTTTTATCTGACTTGGAGGTGATTTGCAGTGGTGAGAGTAATGCTGAATGGGCATGCTAATTGGAGAAATTCTGTGAGAATGAGGTAGTGTTGGTTTGACCACGAACACACCAGGCAGGCGGATATTCCGTTTAAAAAAAAATCACTGGACTGTATAGGAATGCTCTATTGATGCAGATCTATACACACAACCACATACTAACTTAAGAAAGTTGGATTTGTCCAGTTGCTTCCAGAGGAGACAGTACTTTTGCTTGGAAATTTGAAAACAACCAACCAACCAAAAAAATACTTTTTATTGGCACTGATCTTACCATCTTTTAAATAAATGTTAAACCAATACTTTAAGGCCAATTATTCTGGAGCTATGCCAAATGATTAGCCTGCCCAGAGTGTGCACCTATCTTAATAAGGGACTTAGTGGTTGGAGTAAGGTTCCTGTGGCAGAGATTGCTAATTATCTCTTAATATCCAATCCCTCAATTAAAAAAATAACGTAACTTTGATTTTTTTATCTAAGCAGCACTATAACTAGGTGTATCTATGTGGCCAAGTCTAGCTAATGATTTATAAGTAGAAGTGTTTAGGTATTTCCAAAAGTCTCCCTGAAAAGTTAGGTTAAGGCTGTCCTTTTTCCTTCCTGCTACTTGGTTGTGAACCTAATGGCTGGTACTCTGGCACCCATTTTGGACCATGGTGTGCCCTTGACAATGGAAGTTGTGTCAAGTACAGCCTGGGTCTCTGGCACCGGAGTGTCAGTTCATCCCTGGACTTTTATGTGAGAGACAAGTGTCTTGTTGAAGCCATTGTTTTTAGATCTTTGTTACTGGCAACCAAAGGTAAACTTTGCTATTATAGCCCTGAGGAAAAAGACAGACTTGCAGAAAAGGACACAATATTTAGTAATAGTGTCTCACTGAGTAAAGATCCTCAGGAAATACCTGTTGAGGGCCAGATAGTAAATAGTTTTGACTTTGTGGGCCATAGGGTCTGTGCAACATCTGTGCCCCCCTCTGCTATTTTAAAAGCAGTCATGGACAAAATGAAACCAAACAAACATGGCTGTGTTCCAGCAAAGCCTTAATTACAAAAACAGGTGATGGGCTAGATTTGGCCCATAGTTTGCTGACCGCAGATATACAGGAGGGAGCCACATATAATTTTTTAACTGACCGCCACTCACATATTCTAAAATCCTCCTCTTGGAGGTCTTTTTTCCTTGGGCACCCTGCACCCTCCCATTCTCCTCTCATTAAGAGTTCCTGACTTGGGTGGTGGCAAGTGAAGGGTCACCTGACCTTGTACTCATCAATGCATATCTGGAGCTCAGGACTTAACTTTATTTTCTAAACATGTAAATTAGATATTGCTAAGCAGTCCAAAGAGCTCTGACCCTTTCTTTGCCTACCATCGAGAACTGAGAAATGCTAGTGGCGAGTGAAAGACTCTCTGAAATAAACAAGTAGTTGAACAAATTGTGTGTTAATTTTTTTTTTTTTTTTGGTAACAAATTAGGTGTCATTTTGCGAACAAGAGCAGATCCCAAGATGTTTCAGGGAGACATGAACTGCTGAATATGAACCTAATTTCATAATGTTAGACAAATGGGCACATTTTTTCTGGGTTACAGGTAACAGTTTGTGCCCTGAAGGGTTACAGATAACAGCTGTTCAGGTTAGAAGAAGATGACTTTTTGTTCTAGTCCGTCATTCGGAACCTTCCCCCAGAGCATCTTTGCCACTTAATCTATAGGCCACTCATTGTGCAGAGGCATTCTTCTAGTTCCAAATTGCACGTAACAAAAAATAGAGTAGTGATGACTTCTGAAGAGGAGATCTGCGGTCCCTGGATGTGCTTTGATGCCTTTGCAACATTTCACTCTATGCATAGTGCACTGAGTCATGAGAAGACTTAAGGAAATAAGTTATGCATGTCAACATACAAACCTGGATATCTGATGTTTGACGCATTTATGAGTACAGTGGTCATTTTCGTCTCTATATCCGTGCACCTGAAGGAATTATGGGGTACAGTGTTTATTTTCTCCTGTAGCACAACTACTTAAAACATTTCCTAGCCCCGGGTAGGAGAGAGAACAAAGAAGAGCAGAAAGAAACTTAACCATTGTCTTCAGCCACAAGCACCTCATGTGGGGATGCCACCAATTATTTGTGAGCTGTGGAAATGGACTATAAAGTGGGCTCAGATGGGGCAGATTTGGGTTGAGCCCAAGGTAGAGGTTTTTCGAAGTTAGAATTAGGGGATTTAAAAGACTTACTTGACTGGACTACAAGGAAGGGGTGGTGGGGAAAATGTGCCAGGTATCTGCCGCAGGCCCTGCTTGGCCGTGTCTCCAAACCAGTGCTTCTCACAGGCCTCCCCCCTGTTCCTGGGGCTGCTGCTTGCTTTGTGCATCCTGCTCAGACAGTCAGCTCAGACAGTCGTGGACACGCTTTCCTGGATCTGTGAACCCACAGTCAGGGTCTAGTTGGGGCCGAGATGCTAGAGGTAAGCATCCTGAGCCATGGGCACCAAAGGTGAGTCCCAGCTCTGTTCAGCCCTCCTTGATCCAGTTAATAGTTCTGTTCTTTATGACTGACCACTTGCAGTTGGAACAAATTTGGCACAGGTCGGTATACCGGAGCACTTGTCAGTATTTTTTAACAGCTAAAGGGGGGCTTCACAAAGAGAGGCGCTTTTGCAATGTCGCTGGCCCCCCTTCTCGGTGGGTATGAGTCACGGGCATTACCTGCTCCTAACTGGGCCACAGCAAGGCGGCGGGAGCCCCAGTGGATGAGGCAGTTCGGATGACTTCTCCTTCTTCCTTCCCTTCCTCTCGTCTTTCCCTCCCTTCTCTCTCTCTCTCTCTCTCTTTTTTGGGGGGGGTTTGATTTTGCTTTGGCAAATTGCATCCAATAAAAACATAAAAGTTTAAAAATAAAAAGATAGAGAT